TTGTTTAATGCTCAATCAAAATATATATGGTATATTACATATGGTTCTTAATACCATTTACCAAACAGCGTTAGTTAGACTCAACTGTCATATAATGACGTGGAGTCGTACCCTTAATATCTTAAGTTATGTAAGTGATGAGATTTCACAATCTGAAGGTAAACCATATTTCTACTTTGTGAGGGTATGTCTCTGCTACGATACTGTGTTCTTTATGTAAAATTCTCTAATATCTGCAGGTATGTCAACCACAAGGTACCACGTCCTGAAAAATCGATGGGAGTATTTTGGTCAGATGCCAGAACCTAGGAACCATCATGCATCTGTCTTTTTGAACAGTTCTATCTATATAATAGGTACAGTTTACATTTTAGTTATTTTGCTTTATATGTTCGTGTGTATGTATATGTTATTTATAAAAACAGAATTAAATAAATTAAGCATTGATAACTTGTCCTACCATATAAGTATTCTATAATTTAATATTTCATACAGACTAAAAAATTTCAACAAAGTCAGTTAAAATTTTGTTTTAAAGCCTGTTTCCCTAACATTTTCTCTCGGAAATTTTTGTTATTATTAAAAGTCCTTGAATTAGTTAGTGAAGTAAATTTGAGGAATAGTAAATATATATTTGTTAATAAAGGAAATGTAAAGATCTTGATATCCAGCCAAATTATGTACTTTAATTATCAAGTTCTACATAATTAGTAGTTCAGTTTCGTCGATGAATAAAGAACGTTTGTAGTAAAAATCTAATATATTGAATTGATGTTGGCATTTATTTTTTTTTTAAATACATCAATGTAGAACAAGGTGGAAATTCTCTTTATATAGAATTTTTATTCTCAGAAATGTACTGGTGAAAGCTAAATTTTGCTGAGGAAACAAATTGGTATTAACACGTTAATGTAAAATACTACTTATAGGTTCAGTGCCTTGCCAAAGTATTCACACACTACCAATAATATCACATTTTGGTGAAATACAAATAATGTGAAACATTTTTTAATGAACTTGTTTTAATTCAAAACCCCAATGATCAAACTTAACGCTGTTATGTGTGAAGGAGGTTGAATGTCAACAAAACCAGCAAACAAAATATATAAACTGAAATTTGCTGATGCATGAGTATTCAGACCCCTACATCAGTACTTGGTGGAAGAACCTTTGGCAGCAATTATTGCTGTAAGGCTTTGTGGATAGGTCTCTACCAACTTTGCACAATGGGATGGTGTAATATTTGCCCATTCTTCCTGGCAAAATTGCTACAATTCTGACAAGTATATTGGGAATCATTTATGGACTGCAGTTTTCAATTCTCACCAATAATGTTATATTGGATTCAAGTTAGAGCTTTGACTGTTTCACTTCAGGACATTCACTTTCGTCTTTTGTAACCACTCCAGTGTAGTTTTGGCCTTGTGGTTCGGGTCATTGTCCTGCTGAAATGTAAATTTTCGACCCAGTTTTAGATTCTTGGCTGGCTCAAGTAGGTTTTCCTCTAGGATTCTCTTGTACTTTGTACCATCTATCTTTCCCTCAATTCTGAGAAGCTTCCCAGTACCTGCTGATGAGAATCATCCCCATAACATGATGCTGCCACCACTATGGTTTGCAGTTTGGATAGTGTTGACTGGATGATGTGCTGTGTTAGACTTGCACTAGACATAACTTAGACCAAAACGTTAAAGTTGTGTTTCGTCTGACCACAAAACTTTCTGCCACATGTCTGCAATATCATTTACATGCTTTGTCACAAACTCCATATGAGATTTAAGATGATCCTTTTTCAGTAATGGCTTCTTTCTTGCCACTTGCCCATACAGGCCAGCTTTGTGTAGGGTCTGAGATATTGTCGATGTATGAACACTGACTTCCAGCTCAAACGTGGAACTTTGCAAACCTTTCAAAGTCACTGTTGGCCTCACAGTGGCATCTCTAACAAGTTTCCTGCTTGCCCAGCTGCTTAGTTTGAAGGGTGGCCTGGGTAGTGATTAGGTGGTATGAAGCACATTCCACTTCTCAATGATGGACTTGACCGTAATCAAAGATATAATCATCGACTTTGAATATTTTTTGTAACCTTCTCCTAATCTGTGCTTCTCTACCACTTTATCCCTCGCCTGTTTTGAAATCTCCTTGTCCTTCATGGTTGGTTTGTTGTATCACTAGGTGAGTTGTGGCTTGTTTAGATGCATTTACTCTGAAGTCAAGTTAAACCACTTTGATTACACACGGACAGAGACCATTACACTAATTTTGTTACCTTTCAAACTAATCTTTTGCACCTGAACTGATTTAGGGTTGCCATAACAAAGGGGTTGAATACGTATACAATTGAAAATATTCTAATTTTCTTTGAAAATCTAACTTACATAATATCAGCCGTTTTTTAGTTTTTTCACTTTAGAGTAAATTGTGTAGATTTTAATATTAAAGCCCCATTTGAAAGTTTCATGATTGCAAGCTCAGACAGCAACAAAATGTGGAACTTTGAAGGGGGGATGAATATTTTTTCAAGGCACTGTATGTGTTTGTAGGTCTGTAGAATCTGTTCGTCATTTCATCTTGAAATTCAAAGGTTATGATTGAGTCATTTGAGATGAACTCTATTATATCCACATTTTAATATATTTAGGCCTTTCTTCTTGTGAGAAAGTAGATAGTATCCTAGTTTCAATAGATATTTACAT